TGTTACAAATTCTTAAACGTATTCTTGAAATTTAAACTCTGAATTATGGTATTTCACTTTTACATAGAAAACTCCCAGCCTCATTCAGAATGTGAATAAGTAGCTGTAGATAACAAAAGCCTTCAGTCCAACAAAGTTGATCTAGATTGACACTTCTGGAACGTGAAATGGTATTGCATAACTGAGGTTATCTCATCGTCATAACTTCACTAGTTAAATCAATACACGTACACACGTTAGTTGTTACTTGCAGTTGACTTTTTACTTGTCTGCTTCTAGAACCTGAGTCCCGAAGTTTTCCTTTACCTTATTGCTTTTTCTTTACCTAATCTTTTCTTACAACTGCTGATATTGTTACTGCTTCTATAACTAGAGGCTTTGTCTTGAAATAATTTTATCTCTCTGTGCTTATGTGGTACGAGAATAATGATGATTCCCTAAAATTTAGTTACTTTTTCTTTGTGCGTGTTATAAAATTTGTTTGGTAGCAAACAGCTTGAGTGTTATCGAAAGCTTTTATAAATATATTTTATTTGAATGTAACTTTTTCGTTTCATATTGATACCGGAACTACTGTTTTCTTGGTGAATGATATCTGAATGTTTACAAACATAGATTTTAAGACTTATACTTCATATCTATGAAATCGATTTATAATTTTCCTTTTTTATAGACGATCATGTTCTTCAAGTATGGCCTGAGAAAATCTCCTCTACTGCAACCATGACTGGTGGTTTAGTGGAAAATGTGGAACATGTTATTTTGCCTACTATAAGGCCTTCACATACAGCTCTTCTGAGCTTACTGTTCATGCTGGTATGACTGCCTGTGATATCGATTTTCCTTAAATATATATTCATGTAATTAGACTGATTAGGATAACCTTGGTTTGCAAATTAAAATCCGACAGGGGTGTTGCCAGGTTCTCTGTATTTGTGATTGATTATGCCACATCATTCACTTATGTCGAAAAAAAGTTTATAAAATAAGCAATTTCAAATAATAAAGTAAACTTTTGCTTCCCCAAAACACCACCTGAGTGACTATAATGTTTTAAGTTTGTGCCAAACAGTTATTGGTGGCAATATAAAAGTCAAACTTGTTAATGAAGTTCTTTAGATTATTATGTTTTGTCTACGTAGCTAGATACCCTAATGTCTTCGTGTAAGTGTTGTCGTGACTTAGGGATTCAACCACAACTTGTAGTGGTGAAGTAGTTGTAAGTCAAAAAACTAAAACTCAAGTACATAAGCCCTGCATAATTATCTGGGTTTTGTACTGTACGCTTACCAATGTTCTCACAGTTTTAGTTGTACATATCTGTAAAGATGGTTGATCGTTCTTAAAATTAAATGAGGAAAAAGGAACATTATAAACGCATTCTTGTGTCCTATTGTTAGAGTCGGTTGTAACAAGAAGGTAGACATTATGCGCTATCTATATTAATAATAATAATAATACCATATTATCCACTTTTTTTCTCTATTTTACAGCCCACTTTATGTGTATCAATTAGAAAAAGTCGTTTCTTCAACTTTACAACTGCTGTAATTTCTCGTGTCTTTTTGAAATCTGTAATTATAACAGCTTGGTCGTGTTTTATGTTCGGTTGGCATGTTCATGAAAAAGCAGTTTTAATGTTTTTATTACCTTTAAAGTAAATATTTCTTGTTACGAGTGTTTCATTTTCAACTTATCATTATCACGTTTACCCTTGAAAAAAACATATAGGAAACCAATGAGAAATAGCGTACATTTTACTAAACCTCACTTTGATTTCGTTAAGTTTGATCTTTTAATTTAGTATATAAACTAGATAAGTAGAGTCACTTAAACTATTTGAGCCGAATTTCAGTAGTATAAATTTTGCAAGCGGCAAACGCGAAGTAGCATTCAAACAACAAACCAAAGGAGTTAATTAGTCTGATTTCTCATGTCTTCCACTCAATACAGACTTACTTCGAGTAATACTATTGACGAGGTCGTGGTATGTATGTAACTGACTCGCTTGCCACCCGTAAGTCTACACCGCCAATCCCTCAGCATCCTGCGTGTTAGTCCGAGTTGTTGGATTAGCCATGATAGTCGTCAATACCGTTATCATGGTTCAGCTCAGAATAATGTGAAAAATAATACATTAAACTCGCATTGTTTTTCGGGAAAAACACACTTATGTCATTCCAGACTTCACTTTTTGTCCGTTTATATCGTGCTACTGCGTCAGAATATGCTTATTTTTGTAAATTGTCATTATAATCTCGTTAAATGATATATTTGCTCCTGTTTTGAAGCGTAAACGTAAAATCCTAAATACATTTTTCGTTTACAGCTTTTTCACATTGACTTCTGGAGAACATCGGTTTCTTACCTTTTATGTGAGCACTTTGGGATACTACAGCCTTATACCATTGATCCCTACAAATGCTGGTAAGTTAACTGATTTTGATGTGAATGTAGATACAACACAGAATTGTTTATACAGGTGTCAGTTGTTAGGCTTAACCAATAAAAGATTAAGCATAGACTAACCGGTCAGTAATAAAACTACAATATTGCTGTTTAGTAGGGCTACAAAAACTGTGTCAGTAGAAACGATTTGGTTTTGAGGTTATAGAAAAGATTTATAGTTCGAGTGAATGATTGTCTTTTCTGAGCTTGATGGTTTAATCGTGAAGCGTTCATTGTTCTTCTGAGCATCAACGGCATCCATGTGACGTTTGTACCGGGAATGTTGTCGAAAAGAAAAAGGAAAGATTCATAGTTCAACCATCAAGCTCAGACAAAAGAACTCCACCAAAACGTACGGATTTCTCTCACAATATGTTTATGCTTAGCTTATCAGAAAGTATGAATTGTAAACTAACAAAATTGACGTTTTTACAATTAAAAAAACTTATGGAGATATCCGATTGTCATCTAATAATTAATCATATTCCTGAGTATGGAAGATCGCTCATCTGGCCACTGAACTCATTTGCTTTGCACAACATTGGGAGCCATAATTTTCTGAGCAACCTACACCTGAAGTCAATATCCAACCACATTATTTGTGATTCAGACATATCGACGTAATCCTTAAATGTGACAAGAGAGTTTGCTTTACCATGGATCGGTCCTTTTCTTCCTAAATTCTTTGTTTTCACATATCCATGAAGTCACTGACAAGTGAACTAAGCCATGTTAATAGGTGCAGACTACCTGTTTGGGATCCGCGAGATGATAGCAACCGATGGTTAGAGAGCTTGAATGACATGGCTCAAAATCGTTTGCAATGGCGCAGGTGCATTCACTCTTCACAAATTCTAATCTCCTGAATTCTCGTTGTTTCTTTTTTATCTTTCCAAATTTATTTCACTGGATTATACTCTTTGAATGACATCTTCAAACTCTAATCTTTCCGAGTACTGTTTATACTTTTTCTACCTCTACCACTATGGGATTTGAATCGACAATTGTATGTGAGTGCTAATGTGTTATGGCAACTCGAACTGATGTAGGTACGTACGAAGTTCTACGTTGTTTGATAAAATATTCGGGTGCTAAGTACTACCCTATTTATATGGATAATTGTCTCGTCTGGTTTGTTTGGTCTGAACATAACTTATTTCCGACTAATTAGTCGACTCAAGCTTTTGAAAAATGCACATTCTTTAGTAAATCAGGTGTGCAAACACGTGGTAGTTTGGCTTTAAAAGCTTCAACTAACCCAGCGACTACTGTTAACTAGTAACAGTTAGCTGCTAATGCCTATCACGAGTGTAGATATTGTAAGGACTTAGTAACAGTGTATTTTTAATATTCAATCCCATTTTTTCCATATCATATCATTCAATAAAAATACATAAATCATTAGGATATATTTCGTGTTTTATCCTTTTTTTACATAGAATTTCCAGCTGTCATATCGATTTATCTAGCACATACATGCATTCATTGGCTTATCCTATTTCGTATTCTTCCCACAAACGTGAACAGTAATAATGAAAAAAGTAGATTTGATAAATCAAGATCACAGCATATCATACAAAAAATTGGTTGTCTGCATTTATGGGGTCTTACATTATTATTTATGTTCACAAAAATAATCCTACCGTTAACTTATTTAGAACAACGTTTACCTTACCTACCATTAATGCTTACTTCAGTCTACACAGCAATTGGATTATTCTGTTCTTTTATAATATTTCTGTGGTCAACAACAGACTTTTACTGTTTACCAACTATGCTGACAGAATCACTAGAAAAGGTAAATAAGACTAAAAAGAAAAACCAATGACGACAGTAATTCCAGCTGATATAATGGGAAAAAGGTATTTTGTACTAATCTGTTTATGTTTTTAATTTTGTATTCAAAAATGATTTGTATGAAAAAAAAACGTTAACTTTTATTATGTTCTGCTAAAGTTAAATAATGGCTAACAATGCAATCCAGTATGTGCATTTCGTCTTATTTAGGACCTGTCAGATAGATGTACGTGCACCTTAGCATTTATTTTCACATAGAGACTTAGAGCCAATACGCTTCAAACACCGAACGCTTTATCCACTAAATTATTGATTTCTGCTTATTTAAGTCAATGTATTGTTTATATTGGTCTTAAAAAAAAACACAATGGAAGCTATATTTTGAGTCCCCAGTGTGGACTGTTTGCCGTAAATATTTTTGGTGCTTAATTGAGCAAAACAGAATGGGTAACAGGTGCATAAGATAAGTTTATATAGTGTAGTAACTTTGGTATTGACTATTACCCTATTAAAATAAGTCACATCCTATTTTCACGCCCTCAGTTGTACTGATTCAAAATCATAATTGTTAAGAACAAACAGTGGAATTAAACTTGGGCTTTATATGTATTGGTATTCGAGTTTATTTACTTGAACTCAGAATGTAATTGAGAATAATACTTATTTACCATGTGTAATTTACTGACTTGTAAAAATCTCTCAAATAGCCAAGTTTATCCTATGTATAGGAATTAAACGAATTCAGAAAGCAACTTGTAGATAAATGTATATTTACAGGGAAATCAGTACAAAATATGGATCACAATGTGTTAAACGCAAAAGCGATACTCTGACTAAGCGCTGTTCCAATACACCTAAAAAAAAGAGTAAATTAAAAATTTTTTAATTATATGGATCAAAATTATTATTGTTTTTTATGGTCAAATAAGAATAATATAAACGTCTCTGAATCTGAGACTTGAATAATCATGAGGATTATTTTGTGTTATACACTGTTTTGTACCGAATAGGAATTCGACAACTGTACAGGAATACTATTACTCAATAATAAGTGACAGTGAGTCAGTGGTCAAGAGGTTCGACTTTTTAGCTAGTCCGAGGTTAGAAACATCACTCCACCTATTTCAACTTTAGGCACATAGAGTGCGGCTTGAAGCCAAATGATAAGCAAGTTATTGACTGAATTAGTCGATTGGCTCACTCACTCAAATTGCTGGTTGGGCACACATAAGAAGCTTGTGTATCAGAATCCGATACCGCAAACCACAACACACATGGTCTTGTGTCCTTGAACTAGGATAATTTCTTAGAACTAAGTACTGATGTATTGAAGTCTCTTTACTGAAGATTCAGTTAAAAAATACCTTAATGTGTTAAAGGTGTAATCTGATTAGACGAGTAAGAAAGGTTTAAATTAAAATATTTGTTGTGCATTTTATTACAAATGTATATTTTCATCAGATTAACTGAATCCAAGAAGTACATTGAATCGCACAAGCTCCTCGATAACTTTGCTAATGTTGATAGTAATAGGCAGAAAACGATGAATTTAGATAACATGTTAGTTAGTATCTATAATTTTTAAGGTATGAATGTTTCCGTCGGAGCTCGAATTCTCATCATGGTCAGGGAAGTTACTTCGCTGAATTATTTGTTAGTTATATATAACGTAGAACTTGAAACATATGTGAATTGGTCTTAGTTGTCACACCATATCAGTATATCTGGATGAAATTATCAAGACGAATGCCAGAGTAATATAGGTAGTAAGAGAACTAATGACAATAGTAACAAAGACTGAGGATTGAAAATATGTTTCGATGAGTGGGAATGAACTCGTGGAATAAAAAGTGATAAGTCTTGCAAATTAAACGCTATACTCCTTTCCTAAGCTATTTTGTAACCCCCAAAGCTAAAACTACACAGCGACCTGAACACGAACATGCGAGAAGCACTGCATTTAAGAGGCTCATTTTAATAAAAAAAATAGGGTTTTTATAATATTTTAAATGTCCTTGGGTTGCTCGGAGATTCTGGAATGCTACTAAACATAGTAACAGTATAGCAACCAGTCAATTAGAACCTTTACATGTGACGTTTCACTTCCTTGATGTTTCCGGCTAAAACTTCAAGTGAACGCTGATTGGATGAAATGCTTCTTAGTGTTTCCTGATCCTTGCTTGTCTTTTGCGAGAAATTTTCTGGATCACCCCAACAAAAAGTATACGTATTAATAAGACAAACACTAGATGCATGTACGCTATTGCTAGTGATTCACGACAATTTGATCCAACATTTCTGATCATTGGTTACGATAATCGTGCGAATTCCAACCAGGTAATTTATACCTAACTAAACGGGTCAGCACAACAGTTAATAACATCATCGATTGATGCCACATCTTAGTGTGATTACCCCTAGTCTTTCAAAAAACAATGATGTTAGTAATTAGAAAACGTTTCACATACCGATTACTATCTGCTGGTTTCAACTGTGCCAACATATTACTCTTGCCTGACATTGTCGGCTGTTTATCATAGGCATCCATTAAACTGAAATACAAGAACGTATTAGTTTACTTACTATAAGAATTAGTAGAAAAAGATAAGTACTGCACGAGAAAACATGAAACTACGGTGATCACAGAATGGCGAAGTAATTCCCAAATAAAAAATAACTTACATGCAGGGAGTAGGATATTTTTCCATAATTGAAGTGATTTTTGGACCAGAACATCCAGGAATCTGCATTAAATGTTTCGCGAAAATATCACGTATGCTTGGATCCGGTGATTTATTTGCAAGTTTGACAAACTCACACCAGCTCAATGCATTTAAAGTGTTCAACTTGAAAGGCATATCATTAGATTTTTGATGATTAACGTACAAATCATTCTGTAAAGTTTATAACAGAAAGAATATTTTACTTTTTGAACACATAAATATCGGTACAAAGGGGCACCGAATACACATGCGCCACAAAACTCATTTGATTTGTGTGCGGGCTGTGATACTGGCCAGGTGGCCAGAACGAAGTAGGTGGTTTCCTTAAGGGGCAACACCCGGAACCTTCAACCTAAAGGTCTGATCCACAAGGCAGTGGAGCAACGTCAGGAGATGCAGTCCCATTGTATTCGGTGACCAATAACTGGTTCATACGCCATTTGTTTCCTTAGGATCCTGGGCTCCATGTGCACCATTGGTTTGGAATAAGGATTTTCGAATTCCTCTAGGTGGATCCTCCATATCCACCAACCCGGTCAAAGCGCCGGAAATTCACTTTTCGTCCTCTCAAATTCGTGAACACCTCCATGAAAAGGCAGCAAGTATGACTTTACAGGCAGTGGCCAACATCGTGGGACGATAGTCATTGAAAACTGCTCACAGTAAACGAACTGATGGATATTGTCATGCTTCGTAAGTCTAATTATTAAACACAAGACACTCGAGCCTTGGGTCCCAAATTCAATTGGGTATATATGTTTGTGTTGTTCAGTTTATATACAACCAGTGAACGCCATTTTCTATTTACACATGTATATGAAGCATAGAAGTGAATGGATCTTTCGTTTTTAACCATTTACGATCGAAAACCCAGGTGGTTTAGGCAAAAAACTCAATGATCGAAGTAGGTAGAGATAATTACTCAATGTTTGTCAACATGATAGTTGAAAGTTTCTTGAGCGATCAACATAACCAAACAACCCAACACGTTCGCAGTTTTTATTGGACTGGAATGTTACATATAGTTTTGATTCTTTTTTCTATATATATAAGTATAGTACAACCGTAACAAGTAATTTAGGGGGGTCAACCATGGCTATATATGATCACTGCAATAGTCAATATATTCTCTAAGTTAAATAAACATTATAAAATGACTTACTGAAACACGTGACTGAAGTCTTCGCGAAAGTGCAGCGAGTAAATCTACAGTATCTTCAAGACTTTTAGTTGTCATAATATGTAAACCATCGATGATCTATGAAAGATGGTACAATTAATTATCAGTACAAGTAAATTAAATAAGTGGAATTTACATATATATACATAATACTTATAGCAATGAGTGCCATATTTGCAGCATTGGATGTTGGTGGAAAATAAAAAAACAGGACATTACATCACTTACCTATCACCAAACATTACAAAATTTTGAACAACAGCTTCTATGATAACGTACAACCTAGATATCTTTGGGTCCAATTTAGACTCAAACACAACCTATATTAATCCAAAGGTGATGACCACATAAGTTACATGGTGTACTAAGGTTGTACGACGGATCATGTGCAATCGTGGGTGAGTTGTAATAAGTAATAGGATGGCTTAATTAACAAAGTTCACTACCCGTTTGGTGATTCGCATAGATACATATAACTTTTAAACATAATTATTTTTTTAAATGCTCCTTTCAATGCAATTTTCAGCTTTTTACGTTGAATGGCAACTGAAGCGGGAAGGAGACCATATCACATGTAACGAGATCATCCTAATTAGAAAATAGTATCCTCCTTCTCGAGGCAAGGGTGTTGTTTACGAATTTGAGAGGACGAAAAGTGAATTTCCGGCGCTTTGACCGGGTTGGTGGATATGGAGGATCCACCTAGAGGAATTCGAAAACCCTTATTCCAAACCAATGGTGCACATGGAGCCCAGGATCCTAAGGAAACAAATGGCGTATGAACCAGTTATTGGTCACCGAATACAATGGGACTGCATCTCCTGACGTTGCTCCACTGCCTTGTGGATCAGACCTTTAGGTTGAAGGTTCCGGGTGTTGCCCCTTAAGAAAACCACCTACTTCGTTCTGGCCACCTGGCCAGTATCACAGCCCGCACACAAATCAAATGAGTTTTGTGGCGCATGTGTATTCGGTGCCCCTTTGTACCAATATTTATGTGTTCAAATAATAATACTTTATATCAGTCAGTCAGCTACAACGTAGGACTAGGCACATATATACATCGGTCCAAGTTGCCATATCGCATTAGCACAGCAAGATGAACACCTGATTCCTAGGAGTAGTTAAGTCAATGATGGCGATATATAAAAGAAAGACTGCATATAAGGATATAGTACAGGAAGAAAGAATTAGTATGGAGAAAGATTTCAATCTCATAGTTTACGGGAAGATAGAGAGTATACGCCTACGCCATGTCACCCAGAGTCTCCAACCATTGGTTACGATAGTCACACGGACCCCAACCAAGTAGTCTGCATCTACCAACATGGCTCAGACTAGAAGTTAGTGACTTCAAGGACTGATATCACGTTTTGGTTTGGCCGCCCCTAACTTTCTTCCAATCTCAGTCGAATACTTTATACCCCTTCAAGCAAATATCACACATTAGCCATTAACTTACTTGTGCATTTGAAATTGCTTGTATTAAAACATCATAAGCGACTTTCTGATTATGCATCATTGAACATTCTTCGATTAAATAAATCAACTGTAATAAACCTGTACGTTTTAAACGATACTACATGGAAATTGAATGTAATTAAAAAAGATAAGATACAATATTCATTTATAAATTAGTTGATTAAAAAAGGTTCATTTTCAAATAGGACAAACTATCTGGCAAGCAATTACACAGTGCATCGCGAGTTTCAAAATTATTCTTTCTCGAATCATATGTATCCCTAACGATTTTTTTACTACGGCTAATACTGTTACTGTGGTGTGTGCTACTGATGTCGACAGGTATAAGTGGAATGTATCACCAATCGAAAGTGGGATACTTGGCGACAGAAGGTTAAGAAAATCGAAGACAATGTCAACAGAGAGCGATTGGTATGGAAACGAAGGAATAACAAAGTCTGAGACGATTGATGGGTATTTTTCAAGTGAAGTGTTACTGTATGGTTTCCAGGTTTTACCAAGATATTCTGTAATGTTGTATTAAAATATGTTCAGTTCTCCTCGCTGGTGTTCTCGTTTACTACGTTACTACTGTAGGATTTGTCCCGATCGCTACATCCTATTGTGTTGATATAGTGTATCAACGTGAATAAATGCACGTGTGTGAGGTTCTAATTTACGTACTACTGAATAATTGGTTTTTTATTAATCAGTAATCAGTAGTGATGTTAGTCGGTTTTATGAAAGACTACGCGTCACATAGATATATTCAATTCTGTTTATAACATTCGTTTGTTATGGACATTGAGATTCTGATAACATTAGCATGTTTTGACTCATTTCCTAATTAGAGGTTTGAAACTGTTATTTACAAGTTGAAAGTAAAGTAGTTCAACCAGTGTTCTGCTGTTTTCTTTTTTGAAAACTGAAGGGTGTAGAGCAACAATAAAATCAACTGGTTGGTTAGTAATAATAAAATAATTATGAACAATTCTCTCGAATTTAATTATCCCATTACAAGCCTGTATTAAACTATTCTAAAAAGGATCAAGGTATAAACAATAGATATTCAATGTAAAGTGGTGGGATAATGATTTCGAGTATTCAATTTTAAATCTTCAATACTTAGATTTGAACTTCACTCCATTTATTCTGTTTTAAATATACCTCAAATGAGTCTGTAGCTAATTAGAGAGTTGCAATAAAAATGACACAAACTTAAAATGCGGTATATATACAGAGAATAAGTAGTACTGATCAAATTACATATGTGGATGGGATGACTAGTTTATTTTATTTCATAAACACTAAAGACGAAAGCAATGTTAGTACGGGTATGCATAAGCCTATCAGACTATTAATAAAATAACCTTGTGAATACTGAGACGGAAATTTGAAAATGATAGTTGTGTATATCTGTTTATTTATTAGAGATGTTATAGCAGTAAAAATATATCCACTGTTTACCTTTTGTTCTCTGAATCGCCCATCAACAATGCTATGTGCTAAATCGTCCATTCTTTTACGTTCAATAATCTGATCCAGTACAGCTTCCATTAAACAATCTAGAACACAAAGAAATATCTAACTGAGTAATGATTCCTGTTTTCTGAATGTGATTCATTTCTCGTATCTGCATCAATTAAGTACTGGAGGTCAAATCCCGTCGCAACCCAGATTTTGCTCTAAATTTAATCAGTAATCTTATATACATGAGGCAACCTGGTATCATAGGCTATTTTAGATAGTACAATTCATAATTACACCAACGTTCACCCTACGTAATTCACTTTATTTTGCAGTAAGACAAGTAGGTTAATTCTTTAAAACCCATTAAAATTCGTAAAGTATGAAACCTTTACTGTGATGGAAACTTTCGATGATTGCGGAAGCGATATACTCAGTTGAAAATATTGGTTGTATCCTTTGATATGGATAGTTTAATTTCACAGTTTTCATTGTTGTTCTGTACAACATTACAATAACTTCATACAGGAGTGAACTATTCAATTGGTTCACAAGCTCTAAATCACTCGGTTCTGATGACATCGTCAGTGAAGGACTATCTTAGGACAATTTGGCAACTTCACTTGTCTTTAACCTAATGATTCGGAAATTTTAAAGAATTCCTAGAGTTCCCTTGATCCAAAATCTTGCAATTTTTCAGATCGATTTCATATCTATGATTATGTCTACGTTCAGTGATCTGAGTAGAAACATATCTCATTTTACTGTTAGTTTATGTTTGTGTATGCGTAGATAGAGGAGGTAACTATTTTGTCTATTTCGCTCGGTCAGTCAGTAACAGCGTAGAACTTCGTACGTACGTACATCAGTTCGAGTTGCCACACTACATTAGCGCAGAGATGCAGTGGTCGATTCAAATCCCGCAGTGGTAGAGGTAATAAGAGTATAAGTAATAATCGGGAAGATTAGGGTTTGGAGATGCATGAAGAATTCAGAAGATTAGAATTTGGGAGAACACAAAGAGTGGATGCACCTGCGCCATTGCAAACGATTTTGAGCCATGTCATTCAGGGTCTCTAACCATCGGTTGCTATCATCTCGCGGTCCCCAACCAGGTAGTCTACACCTACCAACACGACTCAGTCCACTTGTCAGTGACTTCATGGACTTGTGCCATGTTTTGGTCTGGCCACCCCTAGCTTTCTTCCAACCTACTCCTATACCACTGAACATCGCACGTCGAGGCAGTCGGTCGTTGGGCATACGTAACACGTGTCCCAGCCATCTCAACTGATGAAGTTTCACCACTTCATCAATCGATTTGCCATCCTTACCTAGTACCCGTTTCCTAACAACCGCATTACTCACTCGATGGTCCCAGGATATACGAGCAATATTTCAAAGACACCTATGATCAAATACTAGTAACCTACGGATATCATCTACTCTTACCGGCCATGTTTCACTGCCATAAAGTAGGACGGAACGAACTGCTGCACAGTAAACTCGTCCTTTGGTTGATAGACGGATATCTCGCCTACGCCATAAATGACGCAAGTTGGCGAAAGCTAGTCGAGCCTTCTGTATCCGTGCTGAGATTTCGTCACACACCAAACCACAAGGGCTGATGAGACTTCCAAGATAAGTGAAGCGGTCGACACACTCAACTACTTCACTCCCTATCACTAGTTCGGGTGTCGATGTAACCCAGTCCTGAAACAACATTTTGCATTTCGAGGGGGAGAATCGCATCCCGATCATGCTTGCATTGTTGCTTAGAGTGGTCAAAAGACTGCATTTTGTCAGCGTCTTCACCAAATAGAACTATGTCATCAGCATATTCTAAGTTAACAAGTGAACCTACCGGTAGAAGTTCAACCCCTGTAAATTTAGATGAGGAAAGTGTTATCTCTAAAAGTATGTCGACCACAAAGTTGAACAAGAATGGAGAGAGTTGTCTATTTCGCTGCAGGCAGATAACCGCGGATACGAAATCGATTGGGAAAACGTTGAAATTAAAGGTGTCAACGAATTTCCGGAAGAATAGCGTTCAAGTCAACGTGCAGTATATGGGAACATCAACTAAACAAAGAAACGTTATTGTAAGATGATTTATCAAACGTAGTTCAAATACATGCCTCTTAAAAATCTCGAAACAATGGCCTTAAAAATCAAGTTATTGATCAAATGAGAGGCCATTTAATAATTAAATTAAATATTCACTAAATACTAAGTCGATTCATGCTAGTTTTGAAAAGCATTCACAAACTATATTTTGATATTGGGATAGAGTCCTGAATAATAAATGCGTTGATCAGATTTATATTGGCATACGGTGGACATTTCATTTTTTAACTAATTTATATAAATTCTAATGTTTAAAATACTGGATCTTTGTTGTCAGAGTTTATTGGAGCGTATATTATTTAATTTCAATCCTTATTCTGGTTTAAGAATAGTCAATTGAAGGTATCGTGACCAAAGAATATACCAGACAGTAGAAGAAAATAACAGTATTAGTTAAATATTCAATACAGTAATAACCATTATAATGATATAATTGAATAAAACTAAAAATTACCTGATTCATTTCGCCATCGTGCAATCCAAAGAAAATCCCCAACAGGAAGTGCTCTTGATTCACATTTGATACTGTACTTTTGAAATACAGTTGGAAGCATTTGTCTTACTTTGTTCGACCTATTGTTTTTATTTTGTAATTTAAACATAAGAATGCAAAACAATGAGTTAGTTAATGATAACATTATTTTTAAAAACACCATTGATGAAATTAGTCATTTTGTATTGGTTGTTTGAATCCTCCCATTGATGTTTATAACTGCAATTGATCAGTCTCTCTTACGTCACAAGCATTATAAACAGAGATAGATGGTGGATATCAGTGGAATCCAGAACGCGCGTTTCCTCCCAATTGGGTCTCGTCAGCTGAATGTACCTGCATCCGGTTAGTGACCATCTGGACTCCGAAGTTAAGTGGATAACGCGATGGCGTTTGAAGCGAACGGTGCTGGGTTCGAGTGCCGGAGTAAACACCAACTCTGGGATGCAGGTACATTCAAATGACGAGTCCCAAATAGGATCAAACGCGCGTCCTACATTCCATTGCTAGCCAACATCCATCTCTATTTATTAATGAAATTGTTACAACTACATAAAACGTGATTTCATTATTTTGATAATTTTCATAGTCTGACTCGATGAATGGAGAGAAAGAAAACATTGATTGTCAGGTTAGGATTTATTTGACTAAGTAAGAATACACCGATTTTTATTAATCTCACTGATACTGTTACTTTACTACGATGGTATTCATATTAATAACTTCGTTTAGCTTTGATGATGCAGTGTGGCAAGTTGGGGCAATACAAATGTATGCTCAATTTTAAGTTGCTTATGACTAGTTGATATGTTTTATTTGCACTGTTTAGTAGTCAGATGTCGAACACCTCTTTATCAAAAAACATACCATTGATTAACTGATAACCTAATGTATGAATGTAATTCACTAAAATGGCGAGATTGAAAAGCCAAAACCAACAAGTACTCAGCCTAGCATTTATGTAAAGTCATGAAATTTACAGTCTTATGAATTCAGTATAGATAATTTTGATATGAAGTAGTCAAAGGTAATTTTTAGGGCAAGATTGACCTAATTTAATTTTGATTAGGTTTTTATCACTAAATTATGTTTTTAACAGTGGATAGGTAGGCCAATAGGATAGGATAGAACAAACCAAAACATGATAACAGTTTATGGAATCACTAGCTGATAGGCTGAGCTTCGTCAGTGATTGTAGAATTTTTGGCTAAAGTATGTGTGATAACCATACTCTGTGGTTGGAGATAAAAACTTGAAGATTGGTCAAGCTGGTGCGCAATCTTTAACTTCTTCTAGATGTTGAGTTTTAATTCTTTTAGTATAGGAGATGATTTTCAGTTCACGTGGATGCTTTCATTGTTGCTGGGTTCATCAAGCTAGCTAGTTTATAGTTGTGTAGTTTTCATTCATTCTGGATAACATCATTGGTGCTTACTTCTTGTAGAAGAGAGCTCCTTAGTCATTCCTACAAACATTATATCGGTTCGTTATTATGACCCTGTTTGTGATTATTTTTCCTAGTAGGTTTTCTTGTCTTCATGAAGACATCCATTCTTTCCGAATAATTCATCTCAAGTTCGAAATTCCTTGCTTTACATCTTATTAAATGTATGTCAACATGTTTTTTCTCATTGTGGCGAAAGTTGAGTAGATGATAACCTTCAATTGCCTAACAACGAACAATTATTATTAAAGTGTCATTATGTTCAACAAACCCAGATTTAATTATTGAAATGAGCCCATTCACTATCCAACTACATATGTGTTACATAAGTACTTCGGCTGATTTGTTTCAATTGATAAAGCCATTTTTGAAGAGTAACTGTCAAAACCATACGAACACTGTTTAAAAGATAAAAGGACTCACCCGAAATTTTCACGAACATCAGCCAAAAGAATAATTTCATAAGAATTAGCTGGAACGATAAAAGTTGTTAATGATGATGACGACGACGAAATTTGGTGTTTTTGAAGTTCGTCACCGATAGGATTCAAACAGTTTCTAGTACTAATAATATGTGGATTCGGAGGTTCACCAGATGTTTGTGAGCTATACTTGGTCATAGCACGATTTAATGAAATCATTTCAGATGTGCCTGGTAGACTTAGTTGACGGGTCAAAATTGGATGTGAGTGAGTAGGAGATTTTGGTTGCATTGTGGACTCTGTTGCTACTGAATTTGTACAGTTTCGACTTGATTTACTTGTGAGACCATTATGTGAAACAGATTCTACAAAGAATAGTTTTCAGAAAAAGTCAACATTGTTGAATGACCAGTGATACTACTGATATCTTAAAGAAGGGTCTTGCTCGGTTTAATAGAGGGAAGAAAGGTAAATGGTTCGACGGCAAACAGACTCTCAGTAGTTTATTTTGAGCAGTTAGCCATATTTGTCAACTGGGTATCGTAGTTAAATGTTCAGAATTGTGGAAAGAGTTGAATAAAAAAGACTTACAATGGGTACATATATTCACAGAATTTATGACATTATGATTGTAGTTGGAAGTAAAGGAGGCTTATATTCATTGACTTAACAATTGTTTCAGTCATGAAAACGTAAGCGCTAATGAATAAAGGATCATTAGATAAGTGTTTCATTATCTCAGTTTGTGGCTCGGTTCAGCGATGTGCACTCTCATGAGTGATAGAAAACAAAACTAGAATCAGAAGGTTCAGATCTCAGAGTGAACACATCATTCAACGATAGAGTTCTTATCTGATGGTTTATAATTTTAAAACTTAGTTACTTTGGAATAAATCACGACCAAGTTCTATACTCTTTGCATGACTGACCTCACATGTCAAAGTTTCGCACTAATACATTGAAAAGTTCATTTTGAAGTTTGATAATATTTAGACGCTTTTCAAATTCGAATGTTATTGACATTGTGGTGTATGCTACATATGTTGACAGATGTAAGTAGAATGTAACATTAGTCAGAAGTGGAATGTTTGTCAAAAAAAAGATTGAGAAGACTGAACAGAAGAGAGTAGAAAGGAATTGGAATAAAAACAGAATTGGAAGAATTATGAAAGATGTAAAGGACAATTGAAATAACATGTGTAAATGATGTATTTAATGCAGGATTTTCATATTTTGGTAAACCACTGTGTCATTGTGCATTAAACAAGATAAATTAGCCATTTCCACCTGAGTCTTCGTTCCTTACAACATGCCATGAAAACCAAGAAAACAAATGAATGTTGAATTTATGGATTAAATTGGTCACAGACTGGTGTACAAATGAAAGCTAAGGAGAACTGAACGACTGTTTGATTCTAATATTGGACTACTCAGTAGTCTACATTTACGGTACCATTACGCACTGAATCCAAAACGCTGAGGTGCCGTATAAAACACTTAGTCATTAGGATCACCGAGTCAGAGACCAATGATACAAATTGTGATATAGCTCAGAAATCATCCAATGGCATAGGCGACAACTGTTTTATTGGTGACATGGTTGAACTATATCGGTCACGACTGTTTACTAGGAATTTAGGGAAACTTTGAAGTAAGTTTTTTCAGTGAGTTGGCTATTACATCATAGATGGAGAAATTTTGTGGAGATTGGTTCAATTTGTAGCTTTGATTTGCCAGACTAATTTCGTTTGGAAGTTGCTTAAATTACTGCATACATAAATGTATCATTTAAAAATGAATTATGACTGAAATCTGTAATTTCCTCAAAGCGATCAATCCGAAATACAGAAGATTGATTACCTTGAGATTTGCATCGTTTAATTCCAGTCTGCAGACTAGTTGAGTTATTAACTTTTGATATTGGTTTAAACGTGAAAGTAGTTGAAGACGTAGTTAGCATCGCACTACTATTGGTTGTACCGATAGATTTTATACTTGATATAGGATTTGTACACAGGTTAGGCGCATTAGAATCAAGTAAGTAAGCATACGTATATGTTATGCCATTTTCTGTTAACCTGCTCCAGAGAGTGAGAGAGAGGGATGGAAATAGAAAATAATACAATATTGAATAATAAATGTTATTATTTGTCATTGTAATAATACTAATCGTAATTCACTATATACAATTCAAAATTTTTTAAAATATATAAACAGGTTTACAAAATGATGTACTAGGTTAATAGACAGTTACTAAGGAAATAAAATAGTTAAGTTTTATTTATAATTATATTTCTCTAAGATATTGCCAGTGTTTGAATTTGTAATGGTGAGATTTTTGATGAAGACCAGATTTTAGCAAAACAATCGGCCTACAGAAATAAATAAAGTGACCATTTCTAACTCAGTACAACTGAGTCATTATTTGTACATGTAAAAGCCAGTCAGACAGTAACAACGTAGAACTTCGTACGTACCTATATCATTTCGAGTTGCCATAACACATTAGCACTCACATACAATTGTCGATTCAAATCCTATAGTGGTAGAGGTAGAAAAAGTATAAGCAGTACTCGGAAAGATTAGGGTTTGAAGATGCTATTCAAAGAGTATAATCCAGTGAAATAAATTTGGAAAGATAAAAAAGAAACAACGAGAATTCAGGAGATTAGAATTTGTGAAGAGTGAATGCACCTGCGCCATTGCAAACGATTTTGAGCCATGTCATTCAAGGTCTCTAATCATCGGTTGCTATCATCTCGCGGATCCCAAGCAGGTAGTCTGCACCTATTAACATGGCTTAGCTCACTTGTCAGTGGCTTCATGCATTTGTGCCATGTTTCGGTCTAACCTACACCTACACCATAAAAAATCGTACATCGGGGCAGTCGATGGTTGGGCATACGTAACACGTGTCGACTTAAGGAGCCAATATTTCAACAGAGGGCGATATTTGATACTTTAGCTGTGAAGTTCGTATTACCAACTTATGGGATTAACTTCGCATTGTTGACTTCAACGCCTTTGTGATTATGTTTAACCCCAGTGTAATAATAATTAAGTCACGACGCAAAGTATGATTTGATAGGGTTTGTTCAAACTAAACTTGTCATCCAGTCAATGGATCAGACATACAAAAATAATAACGAATGAATAAGCGTACATGCACGAAATTGAAAGTCAGGTTATATATGTAACTCACCATACATGTATATAAAACATGTCCTGAAGTAAAAATGCAGTATCCGGCTTTAATGTAACATGGACAAATATACACAAGTATTCATAAAACCACGTCTAAACATTTCGCGATTACCCATACGAGTGAGTACAAAACAGCCAATCTGATTGTAATTATAATTTAGATAAACGCTCATTTAGTATCATATTTTAACACTGTTTAAAATTAACGGTGTATAGATTAACAGAAAAGAGTGAAATGAATTAATATATCCAGAGAACAAATGCTAATCTTGGATAAAAACAACTGGGAAATAACAAGGCACTGATGATAATAATAAAGGAATATAGTATGAAAGGACCAATCAACATGATTTAAAGGAATGGTATGAAATGATACTAAACCCTAGAATTTAAAAAATGAGAAGAAGAGTAAGTGGATCAATGTTACTATGATCAATTTTGAGCTGTGTTACTTATTGACAAAAAACAGTAGTGAAACATTATAATTATAAATAATAGAAAAACATTTACCCTGAACTACTCCAATCTATACGATAAGATACACCGGAAATAATTAAATCTTCATAAATACAACGAATACGATAACCAGGTAAGTTCACTTCACCATCCAAATTATATTCACGTTGATGTGCATTTCGTTTTAAATGAACAGGATTATTATGTTCATCTACATATGTGAAATATAATCCATATGAGCTACAAAAAATTAGGCAAAACAAACAAATATCTAGGTTTTTTAGTTAGGTGGTTGTAAGTAGTTAACAGGAAACCTAACACCTAAACTTTGTGTTAGATGGTACTTATCAGCAAGATGTATTGGCAATTTTGAGGGGATTTATTCTCCTTGCGGTATATGAATCTGTATCACTCAATTGTTTCACAATATAAGATATTGTTGAACTGTTCGGGTTACGAATGACTAGAGAAGATGATTTTAGTGATTTCACAGACATATAAAGTTGTGCAAACATACCCAAGGTTAGCATAACCAATTACAATAACAAATGAAAGGAAAATAAAGAAAAGTCATGCAAAGAAATACAGATTTTTGTTTATGTCATTGGATTCTCGGTATATTAGATTTTACAATTGAAATTATTCAAGTGTAAGTGTAAATACGAATTTAGAAAACGTTGTAGCAGAGTGTACAGTAATTCTAATAAAGCCAAACAAGCTCGATATAACCTTGGAGATTTAAACGTTGGGCAATGAAATTTGCTTGTTTCCCACTAGGATCATAGTAAGCGGTGTAACTAATTTCTTCCAGATGGACAGTTGATCTTTAAAATTCATATAATTTTTGACAGAGAAATAATGGTATATACATTCGGAGCAGTGTAATAACGCTTAAAGTATTCAACTTTAAAACAAAGAGTTGGTAATTCAATACTTGCTGTGGACAAAATTTAGGCAACCTAAATCTCTTATTCAAAACAGTATGGTTGATAATAGCTTTTTTTTGTTTGTACAAGTTTGACCTCAGAGAAGCATAGAAGATTTGAAGTATTTTATTAAATACTTTAAAAAAATGTTCAAGGTAAACTTGAGTGATACCCTAAATTAGTTGTAAATTGGTTACACACTTGAAAATGTTTATTCTATCAAAACAAATATTCAAAATGCAGACAATCTCTGCATGTCGCTACTTTGATGGATGTCCATAAATTGCTTCGAATTTTGTATGTATCATGAAATCAGTACGCGTGTATTTCTACTGGACTAATGCATATTTAATTAGGTAGAAAGAGGGATGGAAGTTTATGTACTGGGAAGATTCACGTCAGTGTGAAATCTAGCCTTCGATCGGCTATATGCCCTGAAGTTGAAACTTAACAACAATATTTCTTCCCAATTTGTTGTCTTCATTATATATTTTTGATAACTATATATTGATAATCGTTGGAATTACACACCATAAAATTTTATTTTCATTTATGTATTTACTTAAATGTATTTACTTCATTTCATGATACAATGCTTTGACAAGAGTCTTTCTATGGTTTTCCACACAAAAGATATTGGCATTCATTTTCTGCCTGATTAATATATATCTAATAGTTGAATTCATGAGTTGATCTCAACAAACCCCCATTTTGGTAACATAGATCCGTAAAGTGTGACTGCACTACAATTTATACAGATATAAGAAGGCGATTCAGCGAAGAAGATTTTCATTTCAATTGTATTTATAGTTAATTTTATTTGCAGGTTATATTGATTGCACGAGGCGAGCTGTTTCGAAACCCATCTCCAAATATTACTTTACTTGGTTCTTCAAAGGACTACAGAATTCAGTCAAAAGCTCAATCTTCGAGCATCTAGTCAATTCCGGCCACTCCAGAAGCCTCCTTCAAAATCATAAATACAGTCAGAAGAGTCAGCTCAATAGGAATGCGAAAGAAAAACGAATGTACAGCAGAGGCTGTTGCTATCCACCAGTTTAAGCTTAGCTTTTGCGTACAAAATCAGTATGTTCAATCTCTAATCCAACCATGGTCTTTACCTCTTTTTCTATTTACCGTAATTTATTGTCTTTTAGTTTTGTTTAATTATTTCTACTGGTTTCCAATTATTTTCACAACCATTACTTAGCAATTGCTACAACTTTCAATTATTCTGTTGTTAATAACTATCAAGTGAACAATTATCTTAACCTTAACACTTTTTCACCAGCCGATTATGGTATAACTCCCGCTCAATATCTGATTTTCAATTTATAACGAGATACCACGCCAAGTCTTTTAAGTATTTGGCACCATTCTGACTTACTATAGAATACAATTTATTAAACAAAATGAACTATAAATACGATTGTACAGCTTAAAAGAAAATTTTCTTCACTGAATAGCCTTCTTTCTTCTTCAATGATACAATGAGTCTCTTGTTATATAGCAATATCTAGAAATTTTAATCTGTCATTAATTTTATGCTCTAAAGTAGACTAAAAGTTGATACACCCATTGAAGTCTTAACGTGGACTTAGGGCAATATTGAGGCAATCCGCACAGAATACACATATGCAAATAACGAACTGATCAATTGTAGTCCTAAACATCAATGAAAAATTTAAACAACTAATAAAAAAAAGCGAATTCTAGATAGTATGATTTTAGATCGTAGATTCAATAAACGTGTTGTTGAAAAAAACCCCATCGAATTGACAATATTCTTTCAAATGGGATATTTCACTTTTATTGAGTCAAGATTCTGTATAAAGATGTTTATTTTTATATAAACAGTAGACACTGTTCACAAACAAAAATGGATAGAAAGATTAATTTGTTGACATTCAACTGTTTTATGTAGATCGTCTCTTCAAAATTGAACGGAATACTTTGTTTTGTTTTTTCAAGTTAATGCAAGTTTAAATGGTGAGAAAGAACAAACAGGACAAGAAAGTAATAAGTAACAAAACACAAAACTATGTCTGTATTGATTTTAGTGCAAATTTATACTGGAGTGTTCTCATGAAGTTCTCAGCTCCGACAAAGGATGTTTAAATCATCCAAAAATACCACTTAATAATAAATGTAGAATATACAAATTTACAACATTTAAACTGGCAATAGTAATGTATGTCAAATTAAAAACTTAACTATATCGGTGTTGGGGATACCTAGATGACATTAGCCGAAAATGATGTTTGAGTTACCCGATATTGGGGCTCATGTGATCGAACTGTAATTACAGAAGAGCAGTTGTACAGCAACGTCTGAGTATTGATTAGTTTGCCTAAATTATAAAATACCAGTGACTTTCTGCTGATACCAAAAACACCATAATAGTGAAATAGCAACCGACAGTAATGCTCAGGGACTATTGATTCAGAATAGAACACAGCACAGTAGCAAATAGATAACCTCTAATTATACAGTTCAAATCTATTACTCAACTTCAATAATATGGGATAAAATCTTAACAAGACATCAGCATCATTAAGTAATTACAATAAAGCATAATTGGAAGAGAAATAAGTGATAGATGGGTCCGTAATTGATTAACAATAACTTGAGGAAGGTAAAACACAGCGATAGTTTATGCATTCAAAAGAAAGCTTACAATTAGGGAAATACTAAGATATAATAATTCTAGTATTTATCGACTATACAGTTCAACTTTGTTTAATGTTTAGCCCATAACAGCATTATATAATTTAGAGAAGCTACTATAACTACAAAGAAAGATGTACAGAGAAACCATTTTATATGATATTAACTTTTACTATGCTCAATAAAACAGAAAATCTGGCAAAATCGGAGATGATTTATCCAAAAAACAATTGAATTACTAAATGACAGGGTCACATACATCGGAAACAACAAATAATACATCATTTTCGACGTTTAAATTTGTTTAAGCTTTTATTTAATATCTTTCCTTTTATTATTTAAACGTGTGTTAACTTGTAAAAGTTGTTTCTTTTCAAAAGAAATGAGTTTACGTAAGATTGTAAAACGTAGAACATCCCCTTATTTGTATTGGTTTTTAAAATCTTCCATTGATGTTCAAGACTGACATTGACCAGTTTGGGTTTGTGTGCCAGATTGAACATCAACTCTGAGATGCAGGTACATCTGGCTGATGAGTCCCAAGCAGGACGAGATGTGCCTCTTGGATTCCACTGCTAACTACCACCCACCTCTGTTTATAATGTGTATGACATTTCGGTTTCTACGTTTTAGGATATTTCAATGGCTGAAATCATATAAAACGTCTTCAATGTTTACTAAGTGTGTTGTATCAACTATTTTCGGCAATATTTCGTTCAGTTAGTGATTGAGTGAAGTATATTAGTGTAATTTTTATTGAAGATTTCATTTCAAGCCATAACATTCAATACATTCGTGTTTCTTATCAGGCATGTCGAACTGACGTACAATGGACACAATAGATAGTTGCAGATAACTCTAGCTATTCGAAATGATTTATTTAGTGAAAATTACACTGTCATCTGTAATAACCATTCATTGAATGGACGAAAAAATGGCCGAAAGAGCTGGTTGCAACGCACCTATTAAACAACCCTATTGAAAATGTTGTGGATAACAATAGCCGAATTATTGATCCAGAGGATGAATATACAAAATCAAGTGTGAAATATGAAGTAACTTTTGAACTAATCTGAACTGGAATAAAAAATAGTGGGATAAAACATAGGAAAATGGATACCTTATTTCAGATAGATCAGTAGACATCGAGGAGTCCATTGAGCACTTCAAATCTAAAGTTGTTTCAGTTGTATCTACATTTAGAAAAAAACAAGATGTGTTATTTACAAAATCAGTCGGCTACAACGCAAGACCAAAATACCTCTAACAGAACTCAAGATATTTACACGGTATGATGCTATATCAGTTAAGTGTCTTGATAAAGTACATTGAATAACTCTTTGGAATTTGGATCACAACTGCAAATAACCTAAAAAACATCGAGTTAGAAGATGAAGCCTGAAAGAGTACATGTAATAGACCAGACGAATCTCTCTCTCTAGTTATCATCGTCATTTTAAATTCAGTTAATCAAACTCAATGTAGAACTTGCTACATGTATACGTCGGTTCAAGAAGCAATACTCTATTATAACAGTGAGATAAAATTGCTAGGGAAACACCTAGAGTAGTAAAGATATTAACAGTATTAGTTCTAATAACAAATACTAAATATCTGGGATACGATTCTATCGGAAAATATAAATTGATGAAGTAATAAAAGGTTTTTGTGAGGAATTTAGAAACTTGAGGTCTAAGGAAAGACAAAGAGTGAATGCACTTGCGCCGTGACTTGGCTCAGAATCGATAACAATGGCGCAGGTGTATACACTATCTGTCTTCCCTTGAACTATGAGAGTGAAATTGCTTTATATCTTTCTTTCTACCAACTAGTTCTTCCTTCATGTACCATATATTTATATGCAATCTTTCTTTAATATATTACCACCTATGAAGTAACTACTTCTATGAATTCGGCGTTCATCTTGTTGTGCTAATGACGTACGGCAGCTTTGACCGATGCATGTATGTGCCTGGTCCGATGTTGTAGCTGACTGACTGCACTTGCGCCGTTGCTGACTATTGGTAACAATAATCGTGCGTACCCCATTTAGGTAGTCTGCATTTACCTATATTGGCTCAGTCCAATAGGCAGTGTTTTCATGGTCTAATATCATGTCTTGGTTTGGCTGCAAATAGGTTTCTTAAAATAACTCCCATCATACTTTCACTGATACCGTTTCATAGTGAAAAACTTTTATAAATCACAAGTGACCAACTTACCGCCTATTCAAAAATTACTGAAAAATTATTTAAAACATCCAATTATATATATATATATATATATATATATATATATATATATATATATTACATGCAAGACTACTGGAAAACAATCATTACTAAATTTTAAGGTATTAAATAGTTACAATGAAATTGTAAAACTTACAATCAGTTTCTTTTTGTGATATTTCTGATTTAGAGCACACTGAAGTAGATAAGTTTGATCCAACATCTGTTATTTTCAACCTGAATATAGGGCAAATGAAATCAAATACATACGAAACAAAGAATTGACAGGGAAGCTCGCATAAACATATTGTGACCATTGATATTTATCAGTGAAACACATTTGAAACTGTGAGTTAAGTTTAGACAACTTGAAAGTATCACTGACAGTATGAGTATTTTATGTCCAGAAAATTTTGACGAGATGATTACTCGACTTGATGTGCAGACAACTCAGTTTACAAATTAAAAAAGAGAATTCATTTATCAATTACGTTTTTAGATGCTCATGTATGGAACTATATTGTTTCTACGAAACGTGATGTTATCTAGCCGCCCATATGGAATTAAGCAAGATAGAATCCATGTTCGACATATTACTAGTGACTGAGATCCAAATGAGTTAACCACTAACCAACACCGAATTGATATACTAACAGAATTGGATCTACACCGACGACTATATCTCTTATTGATTACCACTTAAAGGTAAACAGTATGAGTAAAACAAAGATTTTTAGTATGAACTCAGAATTTCTAGTTCTAAAACAGGTCTGTTATACAGTGGAATAAGTAATCAACAATTGCCGATTTCAAATATCAAATGAGGTTGCGTAATAATCAGGGGGTTATTATTTGTTCTCCTACTGTTCTCGAACCCCCCATTATTACGCAACCTCATTTAATATTTGAAATCTCGAATCACTTTAAGGTGCAATCTTCCTCATCCTTCTATAGACTTGTATATCTACCAAACAACTATAAATTCTTGGATTTATAAAAAAGAAATAATTCAAAACTAAACTGAAAATATCTTACCTTGGTGGTGAGTTATTAACATACTGTACAATCTTCATATTAATCAACTTATCAATTTCACATTGAATTAATTGTGGATCAATCTATAAGAATAGAGAAAAAGAGGAAGAACTGAATGAAAACGAGGAAATGTAGGATTAAGAATCAGATTAATGGGAGCTTACAGTTAAAATAAAGAAGTAAACAATGACAGGTTGAAGGTAAACAATAACCAATTAAGATCGAGGTCCACAGGACAAGCTGGGAGTCATATGTGAAGAAATTCGAACACTTCACTTCTACTTGAAGTTTGTGCTGATGATGTCGTTCAGGAGAACGACGAAAGCTCCATGACCAAGCCATTCAACTCAGTGAACAAAACTCCACCAAAACCATCCATCTGAGCTACAAATCTCCTCCATCATTTCAAAAACGAGGAAAATCTAATATAGTAACTGAGTAATCACAATTGATTGATCACTGGGTGGTGATCGATGTCATGCTTGTCTAGTCCTTATTAGTGCAGATCAAATGCTATCGACCATGTTGCAATGTGGCCACCAATCTAGATGACTCGACACTGCGGGCACTATGTATTGAGATTAGATGGTGGTTGGAGGTAGTCAATAGGAAACCGTGGACCCGGGTTTCGTGCTACTTGGCACTCGTCAGCAAGGTGTACCTGTAATCTTGAGGGGACTGTTGCTCCCTGGCGGATTCGATCTCGTGTCACATGATCGATAGCATTTGATCTGCACTAATAAGGACTAGACAAGCATGACATTGATCACCACCCAGTGATCAATCAATTGTGATTACATCTCAGTCCTACAGGAGGTCAGTCGTGGCTCGGATAGCTCAGTGGTAACGTTTCTGACTGTGAAGCTGGGTGACACGAGATCGAATTCTCCAGGGAGCACCAGTCCCCTCAAGATTACAGGTACACCTCTCTGACGAGTGCCAAGTAGCACGAAACCCGGGTCCAGAATTTCCTGTTGACTACCTCCAACCACCATCTAATAGTAACCGAGTCAATACTTAGTTGAAAACTAATCAGTGTAAATGATGAAAATGAAAAATACACTGCACAACATGTACACGTCACCAAGTTGACGATTAACATTTAAAAATCGATATGTTTGGATTTTACAATAGTTAGGAGTAAAAGACTTTTAAAAGATTGTCTGTAGTGTGTACAACAGTACACAACCTAAGTGATGAATTGATGGTGAGGAATTCCGAGTATGCGGGTAAATGTAGGATGAATTATAATCCTTGATAAGACGGACAATGTTGAAGGATAATTGATTTTTTCATGAACATTATTTCTAATGTTTGTAGATGGTATTTGCTGATAAATAATAGTTTTAATTTCATATAAATATGGTCAGCCTGATAGCTGGTCAATGATCTCGCCTTGTATAGAAAATCACGAGATACAGTGATGAATTTTGTAAACAAATTATCAGTTTGGTTACAAAACTCATTTCAGTCATTTCACAAATCAACTGGACCGATATACTATAAACCATTGGTACATAGTGTGTATAGTGAACAAACGAGCTAAATAGAATTGGCTAGTATCGATAAATCAGCTTAATATGGACGGAGAATATTCTTTTCAACATATTCTCTTTAGGTTCTACAATAATGTGTCCAAATGAACAATCCAAAAAGAGCCCAGGTTTAAGGTGAAGTGCATCGTTTGAAGTCGGAGCATGTGGATTTAGGATTGTTTGTTAAATAACACATATTATTGTTGTTGAGATGACTAATATGAAGTGTTAACTTGAATACGTCTATACGCTGAATGAAACTGTTATATTAGTAATGATCAGAATAAATATGGGTCAGATAGGATGAGAGAAACAATAATACAATTACAAATTTGATCAAATGTTTAGTGGAAGACTAAATTATATATAAAGTTAAATAAATTCAATAAGAGATAATAATACTGATTCAGAGATTACATAGAACAACACAAAAACGTTCAACGCCGGAAAACTACTGGTGTTTTCTACGCGCCCAATAGTGACACTGACACCAAAACATTAATTACCTAAAGTGGCCATCTCATTCTGTATTTAGCAATTTGACTGCTTTTGTGGAGCAAGTTATATTGGTCGGACTTCCGGAAGTTTACATTTTCGTGTACGTGAACACCTCCCAGCATGGCTAGGTAAAGGCATTGATTTACTCGGCTGACTTTCGCCAAATTGCGTCACTTGTGGGGTAGGCAAGATATCCGTCTGCCAACCAAACGGAGACTACTGCTCAGTAGTTCTCTCCCTTCTCATTTTATGGATGTGAAACATGGAAATTGAGAATAGAGGATATTTGTAGGCTACTGGTATTCAACCATATGTGTTTTTGGAGCATCGCTGGTGTAATTTAGGACCACAGAGTAAGCAATACCTGGGTTAGGAATAGGGCACTAAGTAAGGACGGCAAATCGATTGATGAGGTAGTATATCATCAAGTAAAGTGGTCGGGACATGTGTTGCACATGCCTAGCCACTCCCTACCTCGACGGGAGATGTTTCCTGGTGCAGAAACAGGCCAGAAGAAAGCTAGGGGTGACCAAACCAAAACATGGCATCAATTCATGAATTCACTGACAATTGAACTTAGCCATGTTAATGGGTACAGACTACATGGTTGGGGTCCGTGTGATTATCGTAACTAATGGATAGACTCAGAATGATATGGCTCAAAATCGTCTGCAATGGCGAAGGTACATCCATTCCTTGTCTTTCCCTAAATATTGATACACTAAATTCCTCATAACGTTTTTGTTTTTGTTTCGCTGATTTACAATTTCTTTTCGAGTCGTACGTTCGATGCCTAATCTTTCTTGTTGTCACTGATACTATCACTACCTCTACTATTCTGCCATTCGGCCTGAAAACTTCTGTACTAGTGAGGTATGGTAAATTGAACCGATGTGTATAAGTACAGGTTCCACGTTGTGACATATATATATTTACAACAAATAGAAAACTTACTTGTTCATGATTTCGAAAATATGCTGATAATTCACACATACTACAGCCTGAAGGATGCTTTGAACTTCTAATTACTTGCAGAATCTTTTTTGCACAGACTGAATATTGGGGAATCAAATTTTCATTGTTTATTATCTCAGAGGTGACATTATCATGAGTTGCATTTGTTTGTATGAGGTTTGGGAGAGTTATATCATTGTCAGTTGGATTAATGTTGAGTTCTTTTAGAAGGACATCTTTTTCAGTCTGTTTTTATTGTGAGAAAAGACAAGAAAAATGATTAAATAAAAATAATTTTTTGAAATAAACATGTAGAAAAATTGGAATAATGATTCCCTCTGTCTGAGCTAACATGAAATCAAATAATTCTCAAGATTATCACTTAGTGAAATAGATTCAAAAAGAAAAGAAAAATATGTCTGGCAAATGTTTCTTTTTTCTACCAAAATATGACTAAAGTCTATGAAGGGAATGGTAATCAATACTTTTTTTAGTTATCCGAGTGTTTATATCAATCAATATGAACTGGTTACCGATTATATTTCGGGACGGACACGAAAATCTAGGTTAAATATCTTTGAATGATACTGACAAAATGATAAGAAAGATATAGTTATACGTAAATTATGGAACGAGTAGACAACAGAACTTACCATACAGTTCTGACATAAAATAAGGACATTAGAGATACACAACATAGTATCTCTTCCTATTGATTTTATCATCAAGATGTTATGATGCTGTCGGTGAGCGAATAAACTCACTCAGTCAAAGCAAATTGGCTGATAAAACTATACCAAGTAAGTTTATCGGAGAGTAAGTTGCGAGCGTCTAATTTGACCAAAACAACAGAACGTTTTTAATAAATGCTACTATGTAAAAACTTGAGATAAAGTGGATTAAAGTCAATGCTAATGTGTAAGCAAACGCTTCCAAATAACGAGTAAGAATTAAGCATTTATATCGGGTTACATACATTTATGTTTTTGTTAACTACAACTGCAAAATATGTATGGTGGTATTCAGATTAAGCAGAGATATTCGTTGAAGTTCAAAATGCAAATAAAGCAGCAAATTGGTATTTAATTAAATGAATCTAATAAAAAAACGTTACAAAATATTACACGAGACGCAGTACTATGAAGAGAAATAGAAATGAGAATAAAAAAACTTCCAACTTAAATTGATGATGTTTCCTAATAAGAAATTTTTTCGAGCAAAAAGGGCCCAAAATATTTCGGAAAATTCAAAAGGGACTGATAAACAATCAAAACTAGAACCGACAAAGTCAAGATACAGGTTACTGAATGATCATAACTAAATATCGAGATTGTTATTTTTAGGTCCTCTTATCCAAGGGCGGTAAAAAGACCTATCAGAAAAAATATAAAGACAATGAGCAGTACAACGCTTAGGATACTATTATTAGCTCACTAATGTGGAAAGAGATATATTAATTACAGAAGGGAAATAACAGAAAAATAAGCCATTAGAATACAATATTTCTTTACAAAACGTATGTAGATTGGCGGTAAAATTGCTTAAGTTTGTTACCCCTCATGGAAGAGCATAGGCCAACCACAAGCATTCTCCATCCAACCCCGTCATGGGCTGTCCTTTCCAGTCGCTATTATTCCTTTCCATATCTGCTTCCAATTCTCGGGGCAGTGTGTTCTTTGGTCCTCCTCTTTTTCTCTTCTCTTCAGGATTCCAAGTTAGGGCTTGTCTCATAATGCAGTTTCGTGATTTCCGTAATGTATATCCTATCCATTTCCAACGTCTTTTTCTAGTTTCTTTGTCAGCTGAAAACTGTTTTTTTCTCTCCTACAGTAGGCTGTTGCAGGTGATATCCGGCCAACGGACATTGATTATCTTGTGTAGACAACTGTTTATAAATACTAGTACGTTTTGATGATCGTTGTGTAGTTATTATCCATAGTTCAGCTTTGTATAGTAGGAATGTATTGACATTCATATAAAAGATTGTGACTTTTATATTGGTTGACAGTTGTTTTGGGTCCCATATGTTCTTCATATGTGGGAATGCGGCCCTTGGGTTGCCAATCTTCACAATTACGTCTGCATTAGATCTTCTACGTTCATCGACGATGCCGACCAGGTACATGGGAGATTCCACATCTTCCAGAGCTTCTCCATCAAGTGTGATTGGGTAGGTGTTCTTCGTGTTGTATTTGAAGATCTTACTCATTCCTTTGTGTATGTTGAAACCCATTACTCCAAAGGCTTCTGCTACACTAGCTGTCTTCATCTGCATTTGTTCGTCTGTATGGGATAGAAGAGCTAGGTCATCTGTGAAGTCCAAATCTTCTAATTAAATGTCCATTGTATTCCGTGCTTATCATCAGATGTGAAGGGTCTTCATAAACCAGTCGACCAACAGTAAAAAGAAAAAGAGGGAGAGTAAGCAGCATTGTCTGACCCCGAACTTCACTTGCAATGCATCTGTCAGCTGTCCTCCATGCACGACCTTGTACTGTATTCCGTCGTATGAGTTCCGGATAGTGATGACAATCTTCTCAGGAACTCCATAGTGTCGAAGAAGTTTCTATAATGTTCTCCTATCTACACTGCTAAACGCTTTTTCATAATCAATGAAGTTTATGTATGGTGACGAGTTCCACTCAACTGATTGTTCTACGATAACCCATAGTGTCGCGATTTGGTCTGTACACGACTGATCCTCACGGAATCCAGCCTGATTTCGAAAACGGGCGACCACTGAGTTTTTCATCCGGATCAGCAATATTGTGTTGAAAACGTTTCCTGGTACTGGCAGTAGTGTGATACCTCTGTAGTTTTCACATTTGCTCAGATCCTCTTACTTTGGTATCCTGATGAAGTGTCCTTCTTTCCAGTTCAAAGGCAATTGTGTTTCTCCATAAATCTTCCTGAATAGAGCGTGAAGCATACTTTCAGTTACTTCTATATCTGACTTCAGAGCTTCAGCTGGTATATTGTCAGGTCCTGCTGCTTTCCTGCACTTCATTTGTCTGGTGACCATCCTGGTTTCTTCAGTCGTTGTTGGAGTGACATCTAATGGAAGGTCTGTGGGTGCTGCTTCCACGTCCGCTGGATTGAATGGAGTTGGCCTATTCAAGAGTTCCTTGAAATGTTCCACCCATCTGTTCCGCTGTTCTTGAATTTCAGTGATTGGCCTGCCTTCTTTATCCTTGGCCGGTCTCTTTGGTTTACTATATCACCCTGCTAGTTTCTTCGTTGTATCATAAAGCTGTTTCATATTTCCTTCTCTGGAAGCTTTTTCCGCAGTCGTCGCTAGTTCTTTCCCGTATTTCTGCTTGTCCGCTTTAATGCTCCACTTCACTTGCTTGTTTGCTTTTATGTACTCGGCTTGTGCCTTGACTTTCTCTGCTATTGTTAGTTGCTGTCTTTTTGTACTTCCTTTCTTATGCAGGGTTTCAATAGAGATCCATTCATTTTCGAGTCCCAGCACCTCCTGACACGTTGAAATTATAGCTTCTTTGATCCTTATCCGATTTCCCTCCATAGTAATTTCTTCTTCTTTTAGTAGATCATGTAAGGCTTGGAACCTGCTGTTGAGGGCTACCTTGAATCGGTTGTTTGTCAGTATCTCGAAGGAAGCCTGTAGTGAACTTTTATAATGCTGTTCTGCCAGTGTTTCTTTAGTTTCAGTTTCATTTCAGTTACAACCAGGTGGTGATCTGAAGTTATGTCAGCTCCTCTCCTGGTTCTCACGTCTCTCATTGTCCTCCTGAATTCTTTAGTGATGCAGATATGATCGGCCTGGTTCTCTGTAGTGTAATCTAGTAAGACAAATGTAGCTTTGTGTATGCGTTTGTGGGGTAATATTTTGCCACTTATAACCAGTTTGTTGAATGCACATAGATTTGCGAATCTCTCACCACTTTCGTTTCTTGCTCCCAGTCCATATCGTTCTATGACATCTCCATAGCCGGTGCTGTAAATTCCGACCGTGGCATCTAGGTAACCTATCAGGATGGTCAGGTCCTTTCACGGGAACGTCTCTACGATTAGCTGCAGTATCTCGTAAGACAGATATTTATTGTCGTCGTTGCCATCATTGGTGGGTGTATAATATTGGATAACATTCATTGTGATTCCCACCTTCTTTGTTTTGAAAGATGCTTAGACGATCCTGGATCCATGAGATTCCCATCCTACATGTGCATTACATGCTTTATTGAACAGCATGACAGCAACTCCCTGAGTGTTGGACCATTTTCTTCTTCGTGACCAGAGTACAGAAGCATTTCTCCCGAACCTAACCTTTGTTGGCCAGGTTCGATCCAATGAGTTTCGCTAATTCCAGCACCGTCGAGTTGTATCTCCTCATTTCCGTAGATACTTGGGACCGGTAATAACTCTAGAAGAGCTACAGGTGGAGTTCAGCAGTAGAATGGAGCATATTTAACAACTTAGTAGCCAGTTATTTATTTTTACAAACACGGAACCAGACAACACTTCCTACAGCGGTTTAAAATACAACTTGGTTACGCAAACCAAGCGATCTGAAATTGGATTTGAATTTATAAAACTCAATAGTTTATAATTTTTGTATCCAAATCACTGTTTTTTTATATTAATATTAGAAGGGATTTAAATTATTTCGCAATAGATCAATGGATGATGCGTTGTGTTTGGGGCGATACAAGTCTTGATGTGAACATCAACACTGGGATGCAGGTAAATCTAACTGACAGGCTCGAAATAGGACAAAAGGAATGTAAGGGATTCCACTACTGGCCACAATCTACCTATTCTGTATGAAACACTGATATTTTTTCTCTACTTTTATTAAATACAGCCGTTTTGTGAACTTAAGTTAGTTCCAATCAATTTCTATGTGCTTTACAATTAAATGAATAGCAATGTTAAAAAATATATCCAAAGACTATGAAGTGAATGACCAAAATGCTAATTGATATCGATTACAACTTTACATCCTTTCATATCTGCATTTTATATTCGTATGGACGCTCATTACTATGCAATAATAATTTTGTAATGTATGATACAGAACAAAGAAAGGTTAACAAGAAGTGATATCCAATGAGCGAAAAGATTCGATGCAAAATATGTATAAATATAAACATAAACACTATAAATATGCCATGAAAAAATTTATCAGAAATAACTCATCTAAATGAGGTGAAATAAAATGTAAGTCAATGCACTATTCATAAACTTATCTTTAAGGGTTAAATATGTTGGACTGTGACTTTCAA